AGTTATAAATGTTTGGTAGATTTAAATTATGTAATTTTTAAATAAAATAATTCTTAAAATTTTAATTTAAAGAATGTCATTCGAACGGGCGATATTACAAATACGGAGAAGTTGCTCTAATTAATTGTAACGAATGGTAAGCTATTTTTTTCTTCATAATCAAACATTTTTAATTTTTATAAAATAATTTTGATAAAAGAAATGTTTTTGAATTAATTAAAATAATTTTAAAGATGAGTAATAATTTTTATAAAATGATAAATAGATTTATGAAGTATTATTTACCGATATTTTACTACAGTCGATGTCAAGAAGTTCAAGGTGAATTGCAATTGTTATGCAGTCAGCATGAATGTCTCATTGAANTTTTATGTAGTCAGCACGAATGTCTCATTGAAACAAATCTACTGGACACAATCAGATTTCAAAGTAATCGACTTGGATGGAGTGCTGGAAATTACACCGAGTTTTGGGGTCGAAAATATGAAGATGGATTAACTCTACGACTGGGTTTACTACATTCCACAAAAAAAGTTGGTATCCAGATATTTAAACAAATGTTTAAAAGTTTGAAATGAATTTTTATGAACATTTTTTTGTTTAATCATAGTTTATTATAAGGGCGTGGTGTGGCGCGGTGGTCACACNGAGCGTGGTGTGGCGCGGTGATCACACTAGTTGTTGACAAAACTCTAGTGTTAGGCCGCGCCTACCGCCGTAGGTGAACGGATGGGTGACCATACGTGCGCTTCTATGGTGACGAAAAAGCACCAGTGCAGAAGGCAACGGGAAACCACTGCACTTAAATTTCCCCAGGATATACCAATCCAATTGGTATTAACCAACCTAATGGTTTAAAAAAAAAAAAAAAAGTTTATTATAATCAAATTCATAGTTTTATATTTTTATTTATCACACCATTATTACCCTCACTGGTTCCCTCAACCATGATAATATTGCGCCAGATCGACATCTGGTGTAAAAATCCTGTCAAATTAATAATGTATAGCCGACCTTAAATATTAATAGAGAGGCTAAGGACATGATTATTTTTAATTTATCACACCCTATTAAAATATATATATTTTTTATAATGTTCTACAATATTACCGAATATCATTATCTATAATACTACTTAATTACTTACTTTGTATATTTTCAGATTTTACAAATGAAACCACTTAAGACGTATTTTAGACGAGAAACGTTGCCACGTGTTTTTGATAGTCGTACTAAATGGCAAAATTTTATTTCACGACCAATAGATCAAGGTTGGTGTGGTGCAGCTTGGGCGATATCTACAGTACAAGTAAGCACCGATCGATTTGCAATCATGACAAAAGGGGAAGTCAAACATGCTCTGTCTATACAACATTTACTGTCATGTAATAACCGCAGTCAACGAGGTTGTCAAGGAGGTCATTTGACAAGAGCTTGGAATTGGATAAGAAAGTTTGGGTAAGTAAAATTTTATCAGTATCAAAATTAACATCAGACTACAAAACTTATTACTTGATTTGATAGACTCGTTACCGAAGCTTGTTACCCTTGGGAAGGTCGAATGACTGATTGTGCGGTGCCCAAGAAAAAAAAAGAGTACACTGCAATATGTCCATCTACTCAGAGATATAATCCAAATGATAAATCCCAGCTATATCGAATGGGACCTGTGTACAAAATCGCTACGGAAGAAGGAATCATGAACGAAATCATGACTTCAGGACCTGTACAAGGTAATAAAAATCTAAAAAAATGATTTGTAATTTTATTCCTTTTAATTTTGAATACTTATCCTTAGGATATTGAAACGATGAAATTATTATTATGTAGATGTAAGTTATATTGTATTGTTTTATAACAATACTGCTTTTGTTCCATATTTTGGAACAATAGTTATTCAAAGATTTTACACATGACACACATAAAATATTTTAAAGTAATAAAAAATAGCTAGATGTCGCAACACCAAATGTGTTTTAAAAGATAATTTTTTTTAACACAAATAGTAACTTTTCATTCAACATTTTTTTTTCTTAACTGAATATTCAGTTAAGTATAACAAAAAAATATATGACAAAGATATATTTGTCAATATTTTTTTTTACCAGAATGGATAATTTTTTAAACGTTTATAACAAAGATTGAATAACTGTATTTTTTAATTATTTATTAAAATCAAAATTTTTATTCAATTCATGAAATTTAGAGTTATTGATATCTAATAATATTTCTACTCCTGTGATCGTTTGAAATGGTAGTTTTTAAATGAACGTTACAATTTTTTTATTTATCGTGTCAAATGGAAAAATGATACATTTTATTCTAATTTCGTATTATTTAATTGATATACAATGTATATCAATGTATATTATACATTATTCAGAATTTTTAATAGAAACTTACCTAGTCTGTATTATTATTTTCAATTGAAAATTATTTTTTTCAGCTATCATAAAAGTATCAAGAGACTTTTTCATTTATAAAACCGGTGTATATAAATGTTCATCAATAGCTTCTGGATCAAGAACTGGGTACCATGCTGTTAGAATTATCGGATGGGGAGAAGAATACCACAATGGTCAAATAGTTAAATATTGGGTACAATAATTGAACGAGTTTAATCAATTAAAACGACATAATTATTTTGACAATTATTTATTCACAGATTGTTTCAAACTCATGGGGACAATGGTGGGGTGAAAATGGATTTTTCCGTATTCTTAGAGGANGGTGAAAATGGATTTTTCCGTATTCTTAGAGGAACAAACGAATGTCAGATTGAAGAGTTAGTAATTGCTTCGTGGGCAGATATTGATGATCTTGAAATCAGTAACGCTCCTAAAGGATATGACCTTTTCCTATGGAATAGACCCAGAACCAACAAAATCTGATTTTTTTATTACTTAAATTAAGTATTACTAGTTTACTTAAATAAACAGACAGGCGATACGAATGAAAAAAACACTGACGATTTCATAATATGTATATTATATTTTATATACGAACGCAAACAATAACTTATATTAATACTCATATATTGCATCGCTTACCTTTACATATACTTACTGAAACCAAACACCACACTTATATTTTTTATTTAAATAGCTTTTGAATTTATTTCAAAGAGACAAACCTAATTTAATTGGAACATATTTAAATGAACAATTTGTACCTAATGTAAAGTTTGGTTGGGTTGGGTTTGGTTTGGTTGGGTTTAAATGTAAAGTTTAAATTTAGGAAGTAATCAATTCCATTCTTCGACATATAATTTTTCATCATTGTAGAATCTTGAGAGTTCAATATTCTCGGGTTAGATATTTTTTGTGTTCATTTTTTCTAATTATTCGTTCATTTAGTAGTTATATTAAGTTATTATTAATTGATTATTATTTCTTGTTTAAGTATAATACTTGCTAATTGTATTAATTGTATTTCGTTGACCTAACAAAATAATTACTTATTTTATAAGCTATTTGATTCTTAATGATTTTTAATTATTTTAATTATATATGTATATATATATATATATATATAAACTTCTTGTTACGTAACATTTTTTACTTAACAACTGTAATGTAAATTATTTAAATTTACATTTCTTATCAAAAGTAGTGCAAAAATTTGATTCTATACCAAAACTAATTTTTAATTACTCATACATAGTAAAAACTTATTCAAGTTTTAAATATTAAAGAATAATATTAAATTTAATTAAAATACACTAATTTTATATTTTTAATCTATGTCATATACTACACTATAATACAATTTAAATAAATTTTTTATACTTTTAAATAAATATCATTTTTTCTAGTTTCATTTACAAAAAGTTAATTAACACTATTAGTTTTGAGTCCATCATTTGTAGTCGGGCTAATTAAATCAAAAAAATTTAGTGGTAGTTGCAATAAAGGTGGATTTTT